CCTGCCGATGCGGAGCTGGGGCAGGACAGGCAGACGCCCAGCCCAGCACCCGGGCGGGCGGAGGAGCAGAGCTGCTGTGCCCTGAGGGCTCAGACACGGACCGAAAATGTATACCTAGCAATGTAATCGCACAACAAAATATAACACAAGTAACTCAGGTGTGCAAACAAGAGCTGTGGCCATCCACGGAGACAGGTCTCAGAAACACGCTGGGCAAGCAGAACGACGGGGCTCTCAGCATCTGCAAGCACGAACTTCTACTTAGCTGCACCGACCCACAGCGAAAGCCTAACTGCGCCCATGCGGGGGAGGAAGCGGAGGCGGCAGAGGACCTGCGCCTCTGCTGGGCTTTGCTCCCGAAAGGCCAAAATCGCCATCGAGTAGGGTCCGCTGTGGAGATGAGGCTACCAGGGCCTCAGGATCCAAGCTGTTTTCCTTGTCAGGCGAGTGCCAATCAGGGGCCTGCAGCGCGAACACGGACTTGTGAAGCCCACCGTATTCACATCAGCAGATATTTTTAAATGCATCAAAAATGTTTCTTTTTATCCTAATCCAGATTTTTCTGGCATTTAAAACAATACTCAACTCTTTGTTGTGCTTATAGAGGTAAAGCATGTTCTCACGTTCCAAAACCATGTACTATTCTGTTTTTGTGTGGGTTTTTTTTTTTGTTTTTTGGTACTGGGGATTGAACTCGGGTCCTTGCACTTTCGAGGCAGGTGGCAGAACCACTGAGCCAAATCCCCAGCCCTACCATGTACTGTTCTGAATACCTTAAATAATACATGAAAGTCTGTCTTCGTGCCACAAATTTCTTAGTCTATTTCATTATCTTTCTGAAGCTAAGTAAAGTTTGCCATATTTTAGAAATACCCTTTGTCCAAAACGGGCCGGGAAAGTGAAAGATTTTTGCAAAATTTCTGGAAATTTTTCTCACAAAAAATATGGGAAACCGTGTTCACAAAGTGCAGTATTTGTGAACCCTACATTTATAAAATAAAACTATTTTCAACTCACCTCCCCTGTGTGAGGCAGGAACCCACATCCTTGCGTCGGGGAGTCCCGGGGCTCCGCTCAGCAGCGGCCGCAGGCTGTCCTCGCTCCCCGGCCCTGGGTCTGCGGGGCTCCCGCCCTCCGGGCCCGGCACAGCTCAGAGCCGAGGTCCGCTGCAGCTCCACCTCCTGCCCGGCAGGGGCCGCTCTGCTGTCTCCGCTCGCTAGGTGCATGCTCTGCGCCGGTCTTCTCTCTAGTCAGCCAAAGGAAAAACTACTGTGGGTGAAAAGCAGCCCGGGAGCCCCGTCTCCACCTTCCCGGCGGCCCCGCAGAGGGGCTGCTTGCAGTCAGGGCCTGTCGGTGTCCGGCGTTCGGGTACCACACGGGGACGGTCTGTCTCCCGGGGCGAATATTTTGGCACATTTCACACTAGCAGTGGCCTACGTATTCAGCAACACAGCATTAAAGAAATTGTCGGAGGTGAGGAGTACAAAATACTTTGCAACCGTAGAAATGATCTAGAGGGACGTGTACTGATGTTGGTAAATGTTAGTGACTTGGAAAGGACAATTGAATGCACTGAGGCGTTTGTGACATTTTCTACAGACATTTTTACTAAAATAAATATGTACATTGGACCGGGGATTTAGCTCGGTGGTGCCGCCGCCTGCCTCGCAAGTGCAAGGACCTGAGTTCGATCCCCAGTACCAAAAAAAGAAAAATAAATAAATAAATATGTACAAATTATATACACAGAACAGAAAACCAAAAACACACATCTTCCATGCCCCTGCTGCCTCGGATGGTAGAGGTACAAACGCCTGGGCGTCTTTTCCTTTGTCTTTGTAAAAATGAGAAAAATCACTGTACTGGCAAGGTTATGGTTTCCTACTTTTTGCATTATATTTCAAACCTTTTACTATTTTACTTGTGTGCATTTTCCAACACCCTACACTTTCCACACTGCCCTCTGCTCTGCAGAGGCCTGGTTCACACTCAAGCACTACCATGAAGTTGAAGGTCAGTGAGTACCTCAGCTGGGGAAGAGTCTGTGATGCTGACATGCAGAGCTGTGTCCACGGTCAGCACACACATGCACACTGTTGTCGGATTCGCACGTGACACCTGCAGTGCCCAGGCCACTGGGAGTCAGCAAGGCTTGAAGCAAGTACAAGAGAGGTGTGCTGTGTCCACAGCCAAGCAGCTGGTGCTCTAGTTCGGACCTGGATTGTCCCCCAAGACCATGTGCTGTTGTTAATGGAGCTACTTTGCGCCCGCATCTGTGGTAAACACCGCAGAGGACAGAAAGACACAGAAAGCATGTAGAGAAGGAGCTGGGAGGCAAACATCAAGCACATAACACAAACACAGAACCAAGAATGGTGGTGATAATTAACCATTCAGTTGTTTCATCTGGTTCAGAAGTGTACACATAACCCTCGAGAAGAGCCATGCACCCTTGTGAGACATTTCTACACATTGAAAAGTTTCAAGGCAACGTCGCTTGTGTCTGGGAATCTAACAACAACTGAATCGGTTTTATCATCATGTGAGGAGCTGTTGGAAGCAAATAGTCCTTAGACATGAACCCAAAGGAAAGGGCATAGAATCGTTTTTTCTGGCCTCCATCGCGTGTGACCAACAGCCCATGCTCCAAACCACCCCCTTCTGCAGCAAAGCAGGCCAACCGTGTATGTTTGGATACTACGGTTGCTTTATTTGCCTCAATGTCCAAAAAACTATCAGGTAACTTGTGTTTCTCCCGTGCCAGACATTATAGAAATAACACATATTTTGAAGACATCTGTCTTTTCATACATGCCAGATTTATTTGCACAACACACTTAGTGAATGTGCCTAAAACACAATAGGCTACAGGAACTCTTGGTTTAATGCAGGGTCCCACTTCTGCAGCAAGATCATTGGAAGAGCTGGTCGCTAGTGAGGAACTGTATACAGCACGTTCATCACAGTGCTCAGAACAAAGAATTGGCCTGCTTGATGGCTCGGCTTTTTGTATAACTCTCAGTGTAGAACAGAACAAAAGCTGCAGCGCAGCACCACACCATACGTGCGGTCAGCAAAATCACAGCACTTAGGGCTGGGGATTGAGCTCAGTGGTGCTACTGCCTGCCTCAAAAAATCACAGCCCTGTATAAGTGAGGTGCACTGTACAAAAAGACACTGAGGCTCTACCAGCAAGATGGACAGAACTGCACAAGAACTAAAAGACAGGTGGGAAGTCAGAGCAGCGGGCCACAAGTCCAAACAGCACACCTCGGCTGTAAGTCTGAGCAGTCAATGGACAGCTATGCCGTAAAACGGGGAATATCTGCCATATGAAACTGTGACTGGGGGTGGCTCAAGCAACAGTTTATCAGCATTTGAAGACACTGGCGCTTAATAATCCTCTTAAGGAAAATTTGCCTACAAACATGAAGTGGAAAGTCCCTAGAATAACTGAAAAGGAAATACATGGCTTTTTAGATTTTCGGTATGCATGTCAAGAACTGTATACGAAGTGAACCATCTGTGCTAGTCCTAAACAGAACCAGTAAAATCACAACTGCAGAAGGACATCAAGGGAAGGTGCTGTTATTAGCACAGGCCTGCATGCTCAGTCATCGCATTCAACCCGGAGAGTTGGTACCAGCGCGTACACCTTGATTCCTTTACTCCCAGGTGCTTCTCAGTGAATGTTAAAAGCAATGGCAAGACTGAAGGTGATGGTGGGCATCCCAGGAAGGCTGGCTTTTCCCATCGGTGCTGGGAACCTGAAAGCACTGGCCCGCTGTCTATGAGGGAGAGCGGCCAACTTCCAGGAAGACAGGGCCTGTAGGAAGCCAGCTCAGGGAAGAGAGAGCGACAGGACTCTCTAGGTGGGTGCAGAGACAAGGTCCCACCAGGTGCTTCATGGGTCATGGAGCTGGAAAAGGTGCCTTCCTGGTAGAATCTGGGGTACTTTTAGTATTTGTGTGTTTGAGCTGAATTTTAAATGAGATTTCTGAAAAGTGTGGTGGTGAATGTGACACACCTGAATATAAAGTAGTGGAGAAATAGTCGTGCCACTCGGAGAAGGCTGTAGTCCGAGGAAGCCTGGAAAGGCTGAGAAGCACTACAGAGTGGTGCCCGTCCTGATACTGAAAACTTAATGCCCAAATCCGTAATCCCAGATGTTGCTATTGCCAAGGACCAGGGCTCCTAAAGTCTAAAATCCCCCCAAAAAAAATCACAGCCTAGAGATTATGATCTCAAATGTTGAAATCCTGAAAGCCCAAATCTTGAAAGTCATGATTCCCATGGAACAAAGGCTCATGCAAGAGCAGCAGAGAGCGGCGTGCTGGGGACGGGATTGGTGGATCTGCACTTGCATGCACCATAGTTCCATCCTGTAAGCAGACTGTATACTGAGAACCCTGGCTGAGCGTTGTCTTGGGCTTGTCTGTGCAGCCTCCCAAAGGAGACCAGGGTCTGGGTCCGGGTGGAGAACATGGACAGCACCCTTCTGCCATGGGCACCAGCCAGGAGGCCGGGAGCAGAAAGTGAACTGGCCTCTCAGAGTGGGGCGGGGTTTTCTTCCACTGCTCTGGAATCAACTCCTGGCCTTCAGACTCTAGGACTTAACACTGATGGCCCCTGGTGCTCAGGCTTTTTGCCTTGGACTGACAGGACCACTGGCTTCCCTGCAGCTGAGTTCTTCAAGCTTGGGCTAAGCCAACTTCTGGCATCCCAGGCTTTCACATCATCGCTGTGGGGCTCCCAGCCACCAGAACTGCATGAGCCAATCCCCCCAGTAAATTCTCTCACGAGCATCTACATACCTATCTTACTGGGTTTGTCTCTCTGGAGGACCCTGACCAAGATGGGTCTGCTATGGGGGAAGCCAGTATTGTTACATCTTACTGTATTCCTTACAACACAACAGAAGAAGTCTGTGAGGTTGTTCTCTTGAGAAAGGGCTGTGATGACTTCTGTGTTCTTAGACTACCTCATGATGAAAGGCAAAACTTGGAAACCTAATTATGGTGCTGTGAAAACAATGTTGTTTAGTTCTAATAACCAGTTCCTCTTTTTGTAATGCTGGGGGTGGACCTCAGAGCCCCACACATGCTGGTCAAGAACTCTCCTGAGCTACCCCTCCAGCCTTCCCCAGACTTTCAGACAGATGACATATAATGAGAAAACCTCCCAATAAAAGTGCAGTCTCTCAGATCAAAGAAGCAAGAATGCAGGTGAGAAACACAAGCAAACTGCTTTGCCCCTTCTTTCATAGCACCATACTTGAAAGAATACTTTGTCAGAGAACAGAAGAATTTGACAAGTTTATTACTTTCTGAACCAAAGGCGCTTGAAGGCACAGAGGTTCCCTCAGTGTTAGAAAACACAGTAAATGGGCTGCACGCCACCAGCCCCAGTGAGGAAGGTGAGATTTGGAAGGCTGCTCTGAGATCTGCTCTCCCGCCCACCTGCTTGGGCCCATCCGGCTGGACCGGGTAGCCACATCCTCCCCTGCCTGCTCCACCACCAGCTCCAGCAAGGAAGGTAGCCGTGCAGGCACCTCTGAATACCCTCAGACCTCCTGATTGAGCCAGTCCTTGGACCCACTCTGCAGAGGCATAGGTGGCCATAAAGGGTATTTTTCTGAGTTCCCAACTTTGAACATCTTTAAAGAAAGGGCAGGGGAAACCTGTAATAGAACTGGGTGGAGTTCAACCCTGCAGGTCAGGGAACTTAATATGGGCCTTGTGGCCTGAGATCAGTCTGAGACGCGGGGATCTGCCATTGTCTAGCTGAGATCAGGGGACTTAGTTCTGCACATGGCTGTGCACATTGTATATTATGACAGCAGAGATATAGTCTGAAAGAGGCCCTTCCAATTCTATTTTTTTCTTTCTTTTCCTCATTCTACTCTGCAAATTCTTTCTTTTTTCTGTCCTCTTTCTCCAACTCAGTCGCTTGCTCCACCATATTATCCCTTATGTCCCTTTCTGTTCCTGCTCCTGCCCTAACTCAGACTTCTTCGTTTATCATTTTTTCTTTTTTCTTTATGTTCTTTTCTTCTGTCATTTTACCTCACTCATGGGTCAATAGTTTCAAGGAAAGTGAGCCCCAATTACTGTTAAGGGGATATATTCGTGTCCTTATTTCTGCATTCTGTCTATCCCTTTTGAATTTAATAGTTTCATAAAGATTGTATGGTCATTCTATGTCCTCTGGCTTCACTTGAAACCTTCTCCAATTCTTTCACCTATC